GCAATACTCCACAACACAAACCATGGATCCCAGCGTGTCTTGCCATGCAAACAAAAGCACTAGGATTAGGAAAACTCAAAGACACTTCTTTCTTTGAGAAAGCTGGGGTGACAAAGGCTTACAGTGCCTTCTGCAGATTTGTTGCTGCCAAACCTCAAAGGTTTTCTTTAAATCTTTGTACTTTTCAGATATCTCTTCCTGGCTGGATGACTGTTGCAGAATGGAAACAATTTAGGCAGAATCTGCAAAGATTAAGGCAAAATGAAAAAGCAGCGGTTATCAGTTAAGAATAATCACAACTGCTCTTTCTGCCTGGTACCTTTGATACTCCTCAGCCCCCACGAAGGAGTTTCTTTTTCCAGCTCCTCCATTTTCCTCTCCTTGGATACCTCCCCTGTCCCTAATGCAATTTTAGCGAACAATATGCTATGTCTTCCTTAAAAGTGTAACACTGTTTCCGTTACTGCAGTTCAATTTTCCACTGTAGGAAAAAATGGATACTGAGATAAGAGACTCATTTTTATCAAGAACTTACAAGTTAAAATCGAAAAGAAACAAAGCTGAAAATTAAATAAGGGCTCACCTTAAACAAGCTTGGTTGCCTAAATAACTGTAACCGTTTCATCAGAAGTACTAGGATTTACACACCATATATGAATAACTCATTCACCAAGCATATGGCAAAATAAAGGGTGTGAATAGATGAGTAAGGAAATACCTTAAAGAACGCCAGAGAAATTTTTACATTCAGTCCTTTGCGCACATGAATCACGAGGCAGCTTTTGTTTACTCCACCGGGTACTATTTTTCCTCACTCCCTGTCTCACTCGTGGCACAGCAAGTACAACGTGCGTTTAATGAGGAGCTCTTCAATATTTTGTTTTCCTCGCCCTGAACAATGCGTGTCCTTGTGCTTTACCCAAGAGCTGCTCTGATGACAGGATTATTAAGTTCCTCACAAGATTTTCTATGGCACTCATCACCCCGGCATCTGAACGCTTCACAAACACCAATCACTTCACATCTACAGCATCTACGGGAGATCGGGGGCTATTGCCCACATTTAGAATTATAGAGCAGTTTGGGTTGGGAGGGACATTTAAAGATCGTCTAGTCCAACCCCCCCACCATAGGACATCATTTTACCTATGACAAGCAAAGGCACAGAGAGAATAAAACGGAAAAAAAGTTACTGATCTGGTTCTGGTTTTCCAGAGAAATAGATATTAGTTCATATGGCCAAAGCACTGATTCCAGCTGCTCCAGTGAGCATGCAGCACTTCTGCAAGCCACCAACAACTTACAACTAAAACTCAAGGCACCAAATTCAAGAAATTGGGAGTTCTAGCTGGGGGAGGTAAAGATGAGACCTATCTAGATAATCAGAGAAATGGTAGAAATATTTCACAAGAGTTAGGCTTGTTTAGCCTAGCAAAAAGAGGAGGAAAAGCACAAGAACGAGATGCTAGAAATAAGCCATACCTTGAGGTTAGGATGGAAATCAGAAGACAACTTCTAAATACTGAGTTCTAACAAAGCCTCCCAATACAGGCAACTGACACAAAGGCTTTACGTTATTTTAAGATTGGAATTGTTCAGAAATAGAAAACATAAAGCAATTGCCTTTATTAAAGGACACTTGGACTTCCAAACCTGAGACCTCTCAGAGGTCCTCTATTCCTGAGCTAGAAGTATGAGCCTCAAGTCAGACAACCAAAAAATAACCGCAAAGTCAGCTGCCATTCATACAAATTGGGGTTTAAAAGCCAGGGCTGGCATCCTGCAGGATCCAGTTCTTCCAGCAGTGCTGCCCAAGGCGATGCAATCTTTCCTGGGAAACTCCTTCCTTTTTCTCTCAAGATCAAGCAATACAAAACCAAAGGCTAAAAATGCAAAATGTCAGGCAGCCTTACTATATTTTGGGTATCACTGTACATCTTGAATTTGATTTTGTGATTGCCACCTTGAAGGCTACTAAGTCAGCAGCAAGACCCAAATGGGGAGTATGTAAGCAAAATCCAAACCATATCACTATTGCTTTCTGCTCCCGGGACACATGGATAGTTAGCCACATTCCATCCACCTTGAATTTTCTACTGGCCAACTGCAGGCCTTCAGAGATACTTAAGAAGCAGGGCCACAGTGAATCCAGAGGTGAAATCAATGAGCCTGCCTGAATTTGGACCTAAGGTTATAACTCAAATTGGGTGTCCATGTAAAGGAAGAGGGATAGGACTAGAAGCACACACATAGACAGCCACCGTTGCCACATCAGCATAACCTACAAGCAAGACACCCCCAAAAACATGTACGTATGTGTCCTGGTTTTGGCTGGGATAGAGTTAATTTTCTTCATAGTAGCCAGCATAGTGCTGTGTTTTGGATTTAGTACCAGAAGAATGTTGATAACACACTGATGTTTTTAGTTGTTGCCAAGTAGTGCTCAGACTACTCAAGGACTTTTTGAGCTTCTCCTGCTCGGCCAGGTGCATAACAAGCTGGGAGTACAGCACAGCTAGGACAGCTAACCCAAACTGTCCAAAGAGCTATTCCATACCATAGAACGTCATGCTCAGGGGGCTCAGTTAGTCGGTCGGTCGGTTGTGGGGAGAGTGATCGCTGCTCGCGGAGAGTGATCACTGCTCGGGGACTGATCGCAGCTCAGGGGGAGCGATCGCGGCTCGGGACGGGCTGGGCATCGGTCGGCGGGTGGTGAGCAATTGCATTGTGCATCATTCCTTTTGTATATTCTGTATATTCTGTTATCATCCTCATTATTACTATTATTATTATTTTCTCTTATTAAACTGTCTTTATCTCAGCCCTCGGCTCTAACCTTTTATTTTCTTCCTGATTCTCTCCCCCATCCCACTGAGGGAGGGGGGGAGGGAGCGAGCGGCTGCGTGGTGCTGAGTTGCCAGCCGGGTTAAACCACGACAGAATGTATGTTCCTGTGGTTCTGGGGCATGCACTCAGCATCAGTGGCATCTTTAATGCAAGTTTATTCTCTTTTTTCTCATTTTATTTTAAACAACGCTGTTTATGGATTTTCTTTTAAAGGCACAAAAGCAGCACAAAATCCCCAAACGGTGAAAACATACATATATGTTCGACTTTAATGCATCCAAATTTGAGATGGTGACACAGGCGGAGCCAAGTCATGTTCACCTAACTTGCACAATGCTAAAGTCGCTGGGACCACAGTCCAGGGAAAGGGAACAGCATTTGGCATTAAAATTTCTCTATGCTAACAGGAAAATATGCAAGAGCCACGAACAGCATTAATGAAACTTTCATAAGCAAAAAAAAAAAAATACATTTTCAACCTGTCTGTGACTGTTCCTCCTCTGCCCCCATCCCTTGCCAGCTACAACAACCACACAGTACAGTGTCTCCTTCTACGTGCTTGTACCACACCTCATGTGATGGGACCCCAATCTCAGTTCAGATCTCTAAGGATGAAAATAGTTGAAGCTAATAAAACTTTCAGGATTTTAAAGCAGAAAATATGTTAACCTTTAAAGCATTAATTAACTTTAATTACGTTAATTTATTAATTAATTAAATTATGGCACATGATCATAGAACAGGTATAAATGAAAAAAAAGCACATGCTCCTATTTTCTTTTAAAGACGAATTAAGGCCTCCTTCCCAAAAGGATGGGATTTTTTTTAAATCATTTTTTTTTTAACCGCAAAAATCCACTCAACAAATCCACAGTGCAGGTTATAAAAACTTGCCACTAATACAAAGTAAATTTATGCTAAAGCTTTCCTGTCCCTGCAACCCTCTGTTCAGCATCCACCACAGCCTCTGATCCCTGCCCTGCCCCAACAGGAGACTCCTCAGCTGCCCTGAGAGGGAGCCACACGCACTCTCCTGGAGGACGTACCTGCAAGGATTAGTATTCTTTAAAAGGTACAAGGTACAGATTGTCTGAGAAGGGATTATACAGGGACAATATGCTAGTCCCTTTGCCCTCCCCACCCCCTGTCCCCCCGGAATTTCATTCAAATAAAACACATTAAGTGTAACTATATCATATCAACCTCTGAAGAGTCTAAAACTGTCGAGCTGTTGGTAAGATCGCTTAGCAATGCTTCACATAGGCGGTAGGAACAATCACCTTTTCTACTTCGTATTTAAGTTGATTATTTTGTTTCATAACAACTCAACGAACCTGCAGAGCTAAACCAAATCCTTTGTTTTCACAAAGTGCTGGACAGCTATGAAATATATACCCATGGCGTTGAAAACAAAAGGGAATGCTTTCAAATGATAGCAGGCCTTCTCAGTGGGGACAAAACTGAAGGTGAAGGAAATGACCTTGTCTTTCCCTCTTTCTGGAGAGTCTGGCATTAACACAGGAAAGCATTTAAGTGCTTACACCTTGGGATTACCTGTGAAGTATCACAGAGTCAAAGAGAGAGTTCCAGGAACGCTGGGACCTTGTTTCCAATGGATTTGTTTCCTGGTGATTGACTTAAATGACTTGCACCAGAGCCACTGTGCGAGCTCATCTTTTCTTCAGCATGGGAGAAGTCATACAAGAAAGATGCATTGCAATGCCCTCCCCGAGAGAAAAGCTTTCCACTAGTGTTCTCCAAAGGAGTAATTTCTTGGCCACCTGGGCTCAACCTGCAGCTCAAATGGTTCAACCATCAGCAAAAGCTTTTCCTGGGATAAGGGCACTCATAAGACTCAAACCCAGGCTTTCCTCTAGTGGGTATTGGATAGAGCACTTCTTCCCTTACCTCTCCAGCTGTTCTCACAAGG